TCGTCGTTCAAATACATTTTCAAGTTTCGTTATTCAGCTTTTAGTACCTTCAGAAAAAATTTATAAAATATTAGGGGCAATTAATTTTCTGCCACAAACAGTTGTTGTTTAAGGCGGCATTTTCTTCTTCTTTTTTTTTTTGTTTTTTTATTTTTTTGTACATTTTTTTCCTCTTAGAATATTGTCTTTAAAAGAATGAAGACGACAAAAATCAACACACACAGATGACTGAACGTGAGTGAACAGCAACAAAAAAACCAATGCTAAAACAAGAACAAAAAATCAAAAAAGAAAGTGGATAAAAAAAATTAAATTAACACTGATAAAAACTGATATTTTCAACTTTTTTTTTGACAACAAAGTTTTTGTGCTAAACATTTTAGAGTCAGATGGTAGTCAAAAGATGGGATAACAAAACAGGCAGAAAACGGAAGAAAGGAGGGGTGGGGGAGAGGGGGGACAATAAAAAGGAAAGGTGTGGCAATAGCATTAGCTGAGGAGGAACGGAAAAAAGATAATCAACAAAGAGCGTCAACTGACAAATAAGTAAAATGATTAATTTTTCAAAAGCAACTGTGCTAAAATAGGTAAAAAAAGCCTATTTGTTCTATAGCAATAAATATTAACACTCAATTGTTGTTTTTCTATACAATATATTAAAAAAAAAGTTTAAAAAAAAGTGTTAAAGCTGACCAGAAATGTTAATAAATAAAATTTCTTATTTATTCTTTCATTAAACATTTTCGCAAAAAATTTTACTGCAGTTTTTAGCGGTACAAAGTGAGATGTTTGCAGTAAAATTTTTTTTTCTTCTTCTGCTTTTTGCCTGTGTATATCCCATTTGTTCGTAAAAATAACAGCCTGTCATCTGGTCAGATGCATCTATGCATATAACAGATATTTATCTGAATACATATTTAAAGCTCTGCACGAATGTGATATGTGTGTAATTTTGTGTTTCTGATGATATATCTACAAATGCAGTCATACACAAAAAAAAAATTA